CCTCTCCCTTCTTTCCTGGGACCCCTGCTCTCTGAGGCCTGGTCAGAGAGGGCTTCCCTCGAGGCCGCCTCCATCTCAGCCCTTCCCCGCTCACTCTCTCACTTGGCATATGCCCACCCCCCATTGCTGGTTAAGCACTACGTATTGACTCTGTTGGCCTCTCCCCTGATTGAAAACCCAGTGTAGGGTTTGGCCTCTGCCCCATGCTGCATCCCCATTGCCGGTTGAGAGGCTGTGTGGATTAGCACTTTCTTAACACAGAGACGTGGCCACCCTGGGCAGGCATTCGTGAATGGGCAGGTGGTCACCTTTTGACTGACTTCAGGTGAGTTCCTGCCAACCATGTGCCCCTTGTCACAGCCCATCTCTCTCCTTCTCCCAGACCTGCTGTCCAACCACGTGGCCCTGTCCACAGTCCAGTCTGAGGAGAAGCCACTGCCTGCACCTGCCCCTCAGCAGGACACGGAAGCAGAGAAACAGCTGATCCGGGAGGTGAGGCCCTGTGGGGGAGACCCGGAGGGCCCTGTGGGGGGAGACCCTCCGCCTTGGCTGCAGGGTGCAGCTCTAGTGTGGGCTCTTTAACCTTCACCGTTTTCCTGGGACTGGTATGCAGCCCCCCTGCTAGAGCCGAGAGTTCAGAGGCTCAAAGAGGTGCCCTGCCTTTCTCCAGGGCACCCAGCTCCGGAGAGTCTGAGCAGGAGCTGAGCTGGGGCTCCTGGCACTGCAGGCCATGGCCGTCACTGCCGGCTCAGGCGGGAGAGGGGACCGTAGAGGTCTCGAGGGGACATCTAGCTCAGGCCATGTCCCGGCAGAGAAGACTGATACCAGTTCAGGTGCAGGAGGAGCCCGCTGTATGTGCTACATGTGTGCTCCCGCACCTGTCTCTGCATGTGTGTATGGGCACATGTGTGATGTTTGCTCTCAGTACATGTGTGCGTGTGTCTTACATGTGCATGCCTGCTCTTCCTCTAGATGTGTGTGTGCGTATGTGCATGTGTACCTCCTCTCTCGGTACTGATGTGTGCATGTGTAAGTGTGTGCGTGCACGTACATGCTTTCTCCCAGGCCTGATGTGTGCACAGGTGTGTGCATGTGTGTGTGCTGCACCCATGTGTGCTCAGCACCGCTGTGTGCCTTTTTACTCTTGGTACTCTAGGTGCAGGTGCATGTGTGTGTGAGTGTGCAGTTGTGTGTGTCCTCTCAGGACTGCAGGAAGAGGTGCTGCGGGTCAGTGGACATGGCGGAGACAGGCCCGTGTGGATGGACGGCTCTGTAAAGGCCAGGCGGTCACAGCCAAGGGAGGACTGGGCTGCCTGGGCTTGAGGGCAGGACATGGGGGAGGGGATGGGGGGGGAGCAGTGCACAGGTTGCAGGCAGCCATTTGACTGGTGGACAAGTGGGCAGTTAGCCTCAAAGAAAAGGTTTTCACCTGGGCCACTTGGGTCCCCTCGCCTGTGAAGGTGTACAGATACCCCCCCC